CCTTTTTATTTTAATTAATTATGAATTATGCATAATTATTTATTAATATCTGAAATTTAATAAAATGTTCGTTATCAGATTTTAAAATTTGATTTCCAATAATAAATCCCTAATGTTTCTTATAAATTTTTTCACTTTTTTTTAATTAAAACGTAATTTTATTATGAATTGCTTAACAACAATCACTAATAATCTAATAAAACAGAATAAAAGTTTATACAGATGAAACAAAATTTTACCACGTCACCAAGAAAGACATGGCGTCCATGTTGGAATTTTTCCCGCCTTCCAGAATATTACCACAACGCTACCAATGAAACCTGCGCAGAAAAAAATCAAAATGTTTAAATAAATGAATAATATGTACGAAATTAGATTATGTTAAAGTATCACTACGATCAAATCAAATAAAACTCACAATATAAGCCATCTCGTAATTCGACACACGAACTATACGTTAAACGAGGAATTCAATGTTATTGAATTGTCAAAAAATTATCTAATTCTAATAATGTTGAATAAAACATTGAATAAAGATGTATTAATTAACACACAAATAATAACAAAAATAATTATGAAAAAGAATAATATTTAAATACTACGCAATAAATAGAACATACGTCTCGAGAAAATTTCAAACGTCTAATCGTCACGAAGAATCAACGAACAATGTCACTTTGCGCTTCGATTTCGCGCATCGAATAACAAGATGGAGAGGGGATACGCTCGACAAGCCAAAACATGTTTGAACGCGAATCCAATTTCTTAGAAATGAAATATCATAAGAAATGTAGCTACGAGTAAAATGTAAACGATAGGTCTAAAATATTAAACAATAAACATACACACGAGACGTTGTACAATATATATTACATATATGTATGTATATTACATATACATTCGAGAAAATATGCGATACTTGAATAATTAGATTTCACGATATGAATACGTAACGAACCGTAAAAAATTTCTTTTACTTTAATACAATTAAAATAATAAAATATAAAGAAATTTTGAAATAAATGTATATGATTAAAATTACATAAAAAAAAACAATATACCCTTCGAAATTCTGTCTCGAAATATTTCGATACCGAAACGCTAATGACGTAATAGACGCAAAATGAACAATCGAAGAAAAGATAAGAAGATACACAAAAAACTAATTAATTTTGTTTTCACTACACTGAATGGATTATTTAAAAATCTGAATTAACAACAATTGATAAATTTGGTAATAATAAGTGTAAAATAACTTACTTCGTAATCCGAATTCACGACAATACGTCCACTTCACACAATTTTCAACTGTAGACTGACAATATGCGCATTTCGATGCGCACAGATTCCCGCGTTTCGAATTAAGCGACATTTTGATTGGCTGGCACATAACATTTATTCTTTATTAAAAATCGCGCGAAAAATTGAAATAAAATATAACACATATTAATTGTTATTACTTGTAAGATTGAAATCCCATAAAGATCTATTTATTGGAAAGAAAAAATTATCAGTAGAATTATTAGTTTAACAATGTAATAAAATAGTTATAATACAAAGAAGGAATTCAATAAAAAGATTAATTAAATTTAAGTCAAAATAAAAACACAAAAAAGAAATTTAACAAACAACTTAAGTAAATTCATAAAAATTGAAAAAATATAAGGAGAACAGGATATAAAAGTAACTGAATTTATTATAATCAAAACACAAGAATTGAATTTAACTTTAAAATAAATAAATTTAAGGAATTGAATTATATTGAATAAAAGAAAACAATATCGACATAAAAATCAACAAAAGAAAACATAAAAGAATATTTACTATAACAATTAACTAGACCTGAAAAAAAATATAAAAACTTATTTAATATAAAATTTAAAGAGATTAGGAAAGATTGAAATATAAGTTAAAATATTTTAAATTGAGAGGAACATAATCTGAACAGAATTAAAATATAAAAGAAGAATAATGTTGAAGTTAAATAAATCTAAAAAATTTACAGAATGTAAATAAAATTTGACACATAAATTAATTTAATTGAAAAAATAAATATATATATAAAAAAATTTAAAAACATAGTACATAAATAATGAATAATGAAAAATTAACAGAAAATATAATATAAAAACTTAACTATTCTAAAATAAAAAAGAATGAGACAGCAGGAAAACTTAATATCAAAAATAAAAAAAAATCTAAATACAAAAATCTAAAGCCACAAAGAAAGAATTTAACATAAATATTAAGTTCTTGAATTAAGAAAAATATAATATATAAAAATAAAAATATAACATGAAAAAGAAAATTTAATTGTTTTGTTTAATTCTTTTTCTTGATTTAGATAATATTTCTAACAAATCCTTGATTTTTATTTCAATTTTTTCACTTTTTTAACTTTGAGGTTAAATTCTACTCCAATATTTTAATCTTTTACTTCATAATAGTTAACTTTTATATTATATTTTCTTTTTATGTTTTATTCATTATTTATATCTTACTCTTAATGTTAAATTCTTTTTTTTATGTTGCAGCATTGTAAAAGTTAGTTAATTATTATGTTGCAACATAAAAGAATTATTTTTATGATATATATATATATATATATATCTCATAAATATATTATTATATATTATTATATATTATTATATATATATAATATAAATATATATAATATATAATATATTATATATTAATATATAATATAAATATAATATAATATAAATAATGAATAAATATAAAAACATAAGAAGTGAATATAAGAGTTAACTATGAAAAAGTGAAAAAGAGTTGAAACATAGCTGAATGTAATGTAATGTGTCTTAAAGTTAAAAAAAATCTAAATCTAAAAATCTTAAAGATCAAGAAAGAATTTAACATAAATGTTACTTAAGTTAGAAAAAACATACATGAAGAAAAATATTTAATATTGTAAATTTGACTATTTTAATTGTTTTTTTTTTCAAATGCTGATTTGTAGTAAGAGATTTAGATAATATTTTTGTTAAATCTTTTTTTATATTTCAATTCTTTTAGATTTTTTTAATTTTCAGATTAAATTCTTTTGCTATTTTCAATCATATTTTATTTTATAACAATTAATTCTTATATTACATTTCCTTTTTATGTTTCATTATTTATGTATCACAATGTCAAATTCTTTATTTATATATTGCATATATATACATAATGAATAAATATAAAAACATAAAATGAGAATATAACATAAAAGTTAACTGTAATAAAATAAAAAGGGATTGAAACATAGGTAAGAAATTTAATCCCATAGTCAAAAAAAATCTAAAATATCAAAAAAAAATTTTATTGATTTGTTTAAATGTTTTCTTCAATTTAGATAATATTTCTGTTAAATCCTTTTTTTATATTTCAGTTCTTTTATATTTTTTTTTAATTTTGAAGTTAAATTTCTTTCCAATGTTTCAATTTTTTTTACTTAATGATAATTAACATTTATATTATATTCTCTTTTTATGTCTTATTCATTATTTATGTATTACAATGTTAAATTCTTTTCTTATATGTTGCAACATATAAAAGAATTTAATATTATAATATATAAATAATGAATAAATATACAAACATAATATGAAATAATATAAAAATTAATTGCTATAAAGTGAATATGAATTCAAATACTGGAGAAAAATTTAATTTTAAAGTTAAAAATCTAAAAGAATTAAAACAAGAAAAAAAGAATTAGCATAAGTATTAATTGAACTAGAAAAAAAGAAAAATATAAAAAAGAAATATTCTTTCATTCTAATAATCAAATGACAATTTGTATAAATAAAAATCAAAACGATAAAACAAAGATGTAAAAATATTATATTAGGATAAAATAACAAGTGAATTCAAATCTCAATTCAAGGAAGCACAAAATATTAGTAACCTCAACAATTAAATATACGATCCATGAAAAAAGTATAAAAAAAATTCAAAACACTAATTGATTTTTTCAATAATAATAAATGAAGTATTAAATAATCGAAACTAATAATAACTTATAAATTTATTAACAGAATATGAATAAAATTATTTATTGCGTAGCGTACTAGCAGCAATTACATCTGATTAGCTGTCATTTCAAATCAATTCGATAATTGAAATCGTAAAAAAAGATAAAATATTGTAAATTTTTTTTTATAATATTTTAATTATTTTAATTAAATGTATTTATTTATTAATTTTATATTTATTTATTCGATTTTTATATTTATACTTTATATTATATTATATATTTATATTATTATTATTATATTTATATATTATATTTTTATTAATTTATTTATTTACTGATTTATTTATCGATTATCGATTTATTAATTATTTGTTTAGTGATTGATTTATTTATAGATTTTTTGTTTTATTCATTTATGTATATATTAATTTATTTATTTAAGATATATATTCATTCATTTATTTATTAATTTAGATCCATTTCATGATTTAATAATTATTTTAAATAAATAAAAATTATTAAACTATCGAAATAATAATAAATGAATTAATGAACATATTATTAACTAAATAAATAAATAAATAAATAAATTGATGTATATGAACGAAATAAAGAAATTTACAAAAAAAAGTCTACGAAACAAAGAAATTTACAAAATAAATCATTAGACAAATGAATAAATTAACAAAAATTGATAAATCGATAATCGATAAATAAATCAATAAAAAAAACTAGTTTTTAAAAGAATATAGAAATATAAAAATCGAATAAATAATTATAAAAATAATAAATCAATAATGCATAAATAATTTAATAATTTGTCTTTATTTATATATATTTATATATATTTAATTAGAATAAATAAAATATATTTTGCAATACTTTTACTTTCTATGCGATTTCGATTATCGAATACACGTACGATCTTAGCCAATCAGAAAGTCGCTAAAACAATTTTGGCGCGCGACGTCAGTTTCCTGTGGAAAGTCATCGAGATAAGGTGTGTGATCGCGACTGGCTTCGGTGATTTTACTACGCAATAAGTAATTTTATTCATATTCTGTTAATGAATTTATAAGTTATTATTAGTTTCGATTATTTAATAGTTCATATATTATTATAATGAAAAAATCAATTAGTGTTTTGAGTTTTTTGTGCTTTTTTTCGTAGATCGTATATTTAATTGTTGAGGTTACCGGTGTTTTATGTTTCGTTGAGTTGAGATTTGAAATCACTTGTTGCTTTATTCTAATATGATATTTTTATATCTTTGTTTTACAATTTTGATTTTCATTTGTACACAACGTTTTAATTTGTCATTGAATAAATATTTTTCCTCCAATTTGTGATTCGATAATCGAAATTATAATACGGCGTGTCATTGTATTATTGATATTTGTGGTAATCGGAAATTCCATTTTTTCTTGACGTATGTGATTTTTTTATTACGTAATATATATATATGTATGTATATTTTTTCTTGTATAACTCTTTTATTTAACATTTGTACATTATTATTCAATCAGTATATTAATTTATTTCTATAATTAATTATCTTTTAAAGACTAAATTATTTATTTTTCTTTATTTGACGATTACATTTTCAGTTATATCCAATTTATGTTTTTAAAATAAAATTTATGTTTGATTATTGTTTTATTCTAATATGATCAATTTATTTTATACATTTTATGTTCATTTGAAAATTTTCATTTTCTATTATAGAAATATTATTATCTGATTTCTGGTCCAGCTTTAAAGACGGGAAAAGTTCCAATATGGACGCCATCATATCTTTTCAACGAGAAATTTTGTTTGTATACTGTATGTATTCATTTTTTTATTTTTTATTTTCATTATCATTTTTATGTGATATTTTCACAATAAACTTTTGTAATGAATATTTACCAATATTAATATTTCTGTTTAAATAATAACTTTAAAAATATGTGTATATTTCATTTTCTTATATATAAAATTTTTTATTAATATTAGATAATTTTTAAAAATAGTAGATAAAATGTCATTCATCGACATAAATGCTGTAATGGAGGCACATGGAAATTCAATATAATAGTAACAATTTTTTGCAAATATGTGGGAAACTAAAAAAATCTGACATTTAGTGATAAATAAAATATGAATAGAAATAACAATAGAATTGCATTTGCGGTGAAATTGTGAAATCTATTGCCATATGCGCCAATTTGTAGAATGCATAGACAAGAAGAGGAAATAGCAAGCAAATAAGGTAAGAATTGATTATAACTCCCATCTCTTGAATGTCAAAAGTTTTTATGACAGGATAAAGTAGGATAAGAACTATGAATCAGCACCATCTCTGGAGTACTTTTGAAAAAATATATTTGGTACTCAAGAGATGACGCTAACAATCAATTCTTATCTTATTTTTATCCTTCTATAGAATTTGCTGTTTTTGTCTATAGTTTTTGATGGAATAATATAAAATAATATATTAAATTTTTTCTAATTTAATAAGAACAATTTCTAAAAAAAAATGAAAATAATTAAAGAATTTACAATTAAAATGATTTCTCCTAATTATATAATTTATAGAAATATGTATTAATTAATTAAAGTTATAAATAATCAATCTACATTAATTAAGCAAGAAAATGTAACTTAATATTTTAATGAATTAAATTATTTTATTAATTTCAATTTTGAATTTTTTTAATCATTTTAGCCTTATAACAGAATGAGTGAACCAACCATTCATAACACTTCGCTCCAAAACGACATTTCGACGATAGTATAGGTAGGATAAATTTGGAACAACCATCCCGGATAAAACACGTCTGTGTTTTACGTTAGTTCCGTAGTTAGTTTCATTTCTCCGTTGCAATAGAGAACTCGATATATCGTGGCATTTAACACGTGCAATTAATTAAAAAAGAAAAAAAATTGTTGTTGAAATGTCAATGAAAATATCAACGAAGTGTTATTATTATTATTACGTTAAACAGGTGCTAAAAATAAGAAATTGGAAATCGTAAAAAAATGAGAAATGAATATGATCAATTTATCTTCTAAAAATTGAAAATATTAAGATATTAAGATTAATTATTTTGTTTCTTCTTTTGTATTTCTATGATGACACTATAATGAAATTTTTTAAAATTAATATTTTCAATATAAAATTAAAATAAATTATATAATGGCATTTTCTGAAATTTTATGTTTTTGTCGTAAGAAAAAACATAATTTTGCATTTCTTTATATTTTATTTATTTTAATTTTGTTTCTAAAATTTATTAATTTTTAATGTCTAGAGCAAATATAAAGATATTTTTAGTTGTTAGAATTTTTATTTTATGTTATTATTCAAATTAATAATTAATGTTTTATTGATATAACAAATAAATTAGAAATATTAATCACTTATCAATCTAATAAAACTGGGAAAAACAAAAATATTTTTAATATATTTTTTCTTGCACCATTTATTTCTTTTATTATTATATTTTAATAAATATGTTTTTAATTAATTGTATTTTTAAAAAGAGATCATTGTAATTAAAAATTTTTTAAAATTTATGTAAAATAACAAGATTTAAAATCGAAAATAACGAAATAGCATTAATACAGAGTTAATACTTATTTCATTGTGATATAATTTTTCTAATTAATTTACAAATATAAACATATAAACATATATATTGTATATAAATATTACAATATCATTGCTGCAAAATCGTAATGTGATGTTTATTTTCATTATTATATATAAAATAGATTGTAACTTTTTTCTTTCAGCTGAAATGTAAAACTATAATTAATAAAACGAGCGAAGATTGTGATTGATTAGAATTCAATCGTGAGAGAGAAAAATTTAAAAGAGGACAATGAGGAATCGCAGTAGTAAGGCTGTTTGAGGGAAAAAATTTTCGAAGCGGAAAGCACGATGCCACCACGCTCGCGACCGGAAACATTCGAGCTGATGGTCGAAGCTGAAAAGCCTTCCAAGTGTATCAGATTTCTACGTTTTCTACGTTTCCTGTGGAAGTTCTTCAGATGCGTTTTTTCCCACGTATCGTTGATCTCATTGGTTGTACTGTATTGCTTGATCGGCGCGTATGCTTTCGAAGCTCTTGAAGCCGCTCACGAAAAAGAGGTAGGTATTGTGAATTTTCTTCGTTTCATTATTATTATTTATTTAGTATTATTAATTTTTTTCTTTAAATACAGATTTATAATTCATTTTAATTTTCGAATTGGTTTTTGATGTTTATTTCTTATTAGAATTTTTGGGAAAAAATAGCGTTAATATGATATTTGATATTTTTTAAATTCAATCTGATATATCATGATTAAAAATGTTATTGATTAAAAAGTCTTTTTAGTATTTCTATCATTTTTTTATATGTTTTTTTACTTATATATTTAATTCTTTTTTTTATCATTTTTCTTTTCCTTAAATCTTTTAATCTTAATAAAAATTATGAACATAATATTAATAAAAATCAACACATAAAATTGTAATTCAAATATTTTGCTTATTCAATTATCAAAGCTTTCTATTTTATCGATTGGTATAAAATAAATTGGTGAAAAAATAAAAATAAATGCACAATTTGTTTCATCCTAAATAATGACACATCGTCTTTCCTTTTTCTATTTATTCTTTGCAATCCTCTTTGTCATCCTCCTTTATCATTTTTTTTTCTTATCCAGATCAAGAAAAGCATTAAAGATGTCAGAGGCAACGTCGCAGAACAACTATGGAAGATTACGAAAGAAGTGGAGGTTCTGATTCGTGAAAATTGGACGGACAGAGCATTGCGCGAATTAAAGGTACCAAACCATCAAATTCACATCTGTGATGTGATCAAAAGTCGAACTCGAATTTTCTCCAATTTCACGATCATTTTCTTTTTTCAGAGCTTCGAGAATAACCTCGTGTGGATGATGGAGAAAGAAGGTTGGGATGGGAGTGAAGGTGAAGATGACATCCAATGGACGTTTGCTGGTGCTTTATTTTATTCCATAGTGGTCATCACCACCATTGGTAAGTCTTGAAAATTAATAAAATAATTATCTTGGATACTCAGTAATACTTTAAAATTACAAATAATCTTGATCGATAAAAGAAAACAAAAATATTGAAAAATATATAAGAGATTTGCTTTAATGATAATGATATATCAATCATACATTAATAAATATATATTCTTAAGACCTTGATTATAAAGTTTATTACGTATTAATATTTATAATTACAATTGATAATTATAATTTAAGTTTAATGAAAAAAAATGTTTTTTTTTTATTTAAAAATATACATATGTTCTTTGGTATTTTATTAAAAATATTGGATGTTTGAATCGTAGTTTTCTTAGAAATTGAATAATTTTTAGATAGAGCCATGATAAACGATTCAACACTAAGTTCTGTGGCTAAAAATAAGAGAAAATGTTTCATGAATTTCGTTGGCGTCCTAAATTTTAAAATTCCAATAAGTCCATAACAATATTAGCATTACTTTGATTCAAAATCTGATAATGAATAATTAGTATAACTATCAAATCAATTGATATATTTGAAGAAAATAGTATATGTACTAATAAAATACAATAATAACACAATAAAATAAAAAGTAAATAAAATTTATTCAATCATTTCAATTCATATTGAAAAGAAAAAGAATCGTATCTAGAAACCTGTTATAATTTTTATTCGTTTAATCTTTTATGTTATTTTATTTTACTTTATTTTATTTTTTTATTCTTTTATTTTTCTATTCACTATTTTATATTTCTTATTTCATTTACCTATATTTTTTGCATAATATATTTTAATAATCTTCTTTGATTTTTAGTTACAGAATGCATTATCAATGTTTATATAAAAATGTTCTTAAAACTTATTAATTCTATATTATAATATTATAAATATATATTGATATAATATACATATCATATATTTATAATATAATCCTAACAGAGATTTTTTTTATTTAAATATTCTTTTCTTCTTCTGATAACACTGATAACATCTTACTCGCCGAATTTTTTCCCATCAACTCATAAAATTTTTAATCTAATCCTTTATTCAGATCGATCGCAATAAGAATTTATACGACGACATATACGTGAAAACCTATTAGAAGATTGATCAGAGGAAAAAGAGAAAATAGTATTCATGTATGCAAATGGAGCTTAAACTTTTTCATCCTCACTCTCGTTCTGGGTCTGATTTTTCTTTAAGGATCGACTATAAAACTGAAAATCGTTGTAGTCGTAATTTTGCTCATAAGGATTGCCTTGGGGTCGTGGATAGAGATTCAGATTCCCTCCAGGGAAATGGTAATTTCCAGGATATCTGTTAGCACCGGTGAAACTCCCTGGTGGTCTTCGATTACCATAATAGTTTGGCGATTGCACAAAGGTTGCTGGACCATATTTGTTAGGAGCGTTCTGAAAATTTTGTCAAAAAGTGACAAATGAAGTATAAAAACGTAATTAATTTTTAATAATTTGTAATAATTGTAAAATATTTTTTGTTTCCATGAAAAATTAATTATTTTTATGTTGAAGATTATTGAAAATGATTAATAGTAGATTTCTTTTGATTTATTTTAATAATATATATAACATTTTATTATTATTTCTTTTTTTTAAATTTAATCATTTAAATTATTTTATTTTTATTTTTTTTTTAATTTCTACTTTTTTCTTTCAGATTTAAAATTTGAATAAGATTCTCTTGATGATTTTAAGACTTAAATTTTGTTTAGCTTTCATTTAGAAATTCAAAAAATAATCAAGTTTAAAAATTTTTTTTACAGAGTGCATCTTAAAATAAATGAAATTAATAATCTTAGGTGAAAATTATGATAAATTATTAACAATTATTAATATACCAGATAAGGATAATATCCTTGACCATATTGTCCAGAAACCAAGGTAGGATACTTCTTGCTATTAAAACAACAATATTTCTTGTCTTTTGCGCAGGTACCCTATAGAAATCATTAAAAATTATTTACATTAATTAAATATAAATGAAAAGAATAGCAACTATTTTTTATTACGTTACTTACGAATTTCAATCCTACAGAGGGACAGTTGAAGCTATATCTGCATCTGCAAGTGTCATATTCTCGATATCGAGGATCGTCCTTGACCCAAGATGGCACGAAACCAGTTTCCAATGCGCCATCGTCGATATTTCCGGTGTAGGAAGGTCTGAATAGATTAAGATATGTTATTCAATCGTTACTTTTTATAACTTGTGTCTTGTGATTAGTAGAATATTTTCAAAGTTTTGATCTTCTAAATTTAATTCAAGATAAAAAAAAAGTTCCAAAAATAAATTCTATATTTTAAACTAATTATACGTATAATTGTATCATAGATTTTTTTGATCATCAATTATAAAAAATTAAATTCAATTGAACGTTTTCCAATATCCAATACTTGTAAAAGAATAATTTCAAACGTGATCCAAGTTCAACCTAAATTTAATCCAAACCTTAGACCATAGAACTTCGATGTTTTTGCCTCTTTTCATAAAATGCAACGGTGTACCAGGTCATCGGGTCGTATAAAGCCAATCAACATCGAGGACGCGAGTAACGAAAACTTATTGGGTTGGAAAACAGCGCGAAGATACGAAATACCTTTTTATAATGCCAGTCGGGCCACCAGGACCGACGAGAACTTCTTTGTTGCCAGGATACGATGCCGGTACAATAGGTCTACTGTTAGGACCGTAAGGTCCCACGTTTTGTGGTTTAAATCCTATCAATGGTCTCTCGTTACCCAAATCTTCGATATTCTCATTCACCTGGTACCTATAATTGAACAAACAGTCTGTATTTCAATTTTACTTTTTTTTTTTTCCAATTTTCTTTCAATCGATCTTAGATTATTATGTCTTAAGATTATTTAAAACATTGTTAAATGGAAAGTATAGGATAGTGTTTGCATAAGAATTCTCTTTCAATCATTCTTATTTTTTTTTCTTTTTTCATATTCGAATCTTCAAACTATACAGGTATCAAACACGTATATTTATACATATATCAAATATCATCTCCAAATCTCTCTATATTTTAATTATAAAATTAATATATTGCAAAATCTTATCTTAATTGTTATTATAATTTTTTAGTCTGAGAATAGCTACGACAAGAGTTTAAAAGATAAAAGACAAATATCACACAACACAAGGAAAGCAGCAGAGATTAAAAACCTTCACTTTCATTCTCACTGGACATGGTTTTGAAAATTATATCGGATAATAAACTTTTTGGCGAGTTTACTTTTTCTATTATCTATCTTAGAGTAAAAATTTCAAAAATTATTCTTAAGTGAACGCACAATTTAAAAGTATTCTCAAGGATAATTATCAGAAAATATTTTTAAATATAGACGTATATACTTTTAGAAAAAAACTATCAAGATTGAACAAACCTCGTCTTCCCGATTCTACTCTCTCCATTCTTCCACACCCATCCATCGTCTTCGGCAGCCGCTACGACCACTGTGACGCAACAAAAGAAGAACAGAATGGCCATCGTTTTACGGGAAACGCGATTTCATAGAAAAAAAAAAAAACAACGATAGTCAGCTTCACCGGTGAATATCGTCGACAGTCGACTAAAACGAGAGTGAAAGTGAATCTCGTCTTTATATATGCACCGTTGGAAGGTGAACGCACCGCGTGGCTCACTTCGAGGTCCCTTCGATAGTGATCTCGGATCAACACTTTTCGTCCGAGGGTGATTCATCCCTTGTGCGGCCCGTTTTAATTACAGATGTTTTCGTTTAGGATCGTGATTAGGATCGTACAGAGAGTTGGAGATTCACTCAAGGTAATGAAAATTAAATAAATTTATAGCGGGACGAATTCATTTTGAATTCTGAATACTGGTAAAAAAAGTTGGAATTCGAGAAAAATTGTGGAAAATTGAAGAAAATATGAAAAAGAAGAAATTTAAGAAATTTGAAGTTTGAATATTGTAGAAATATTTTATATGTTTCAGAAAATGGAATATTGGAAAAGTTGATTGAATTTCGAAGAATATTTATTTAAAGTTATTTAAAGTTATCAATATAGCAAATATTAAATTTTGTAGGAAAGAAAGAAATTGGAAAGATTCAAAAATTAAAATTAAATGATAAGTAAAGAAAAAAAAAATAGTAATTATAAATCTATAACAATTTAACAATTGATATTTTAAAATTTGAATATATTTATTCTTTGTAAATTTGAATATTGTTTTATGATTATTTATTCATATTATTTTATGAATATCAATCTATTTAATTTTCAATTATTTCTGCAAAATATCAATTGTATCTATTAAAATCGATTGAAAACAATAATAATAATTAATCTACAAATATATTTCTATATATATTATCTATATTATCTATATTAATATATAGTATACATATATATTACATTATGATTTATAAAGAAATCATTTTCTTTTATATTCACAGAAAAAATAATATTGATTTCAATTATCATTCTTAAAATTCAGACCTAAATCCTCCCGAGATGCATGAATGTAATAGATTGAATAATGTGAACCAGACACGTGGATACATTACATGGAAAGCAATGTTCTCGTACCTGTCCTTCGATCTGGGAAAATCCGTCGGGTCGAGTAGGGGAAAGTAGTTACGTTACAGGTGATTACGACCTCTTTCTTCGGACAAGATCTAACGAATGGCGTAATACATGATTCCTTCATGCGACTATGTCAGTCGTTCCTCGAAGGACGTCTGTATTGTCTTTCATTCGAGCTAAATGATCATGGTAATTTTATTTATTGTTAATAAAAATCATGAGTCATAATATCTCGTGAATGGTTAGTGTCTTTTGCATATAATCAAGAGATACGAAATGTTGATTCAAAGTAATTTTGATAAACGAAGTATATGCCATGTTATTATGATTGAATCATAAATTGTAATAAGTAATTTTAAATAATAATTTAAATAGTAATTTTCATGAGAAATGATTATAATGTGAAAGAATTAATATAGCAGCTTCTTTGGAATAATAATTATTAAATTAAAAAATTAAAATTTATAGTAAAATATAATTTATAAGTTTAAAATTTATTAATTTACATTAAAATTTATTAATAATTACAGATCATATGAGTCATTTAGTATTTTAATAACAATAGAAAAGTATTATACATATTCATGCTATTTAAAAGTATAAAAATGATCTTGAAATTTTTACTAAAATTTTATTATGTCGTCTCATATTTCTAAAAATAACAAAAAGTGTTCAAATAACATAAAATATTTATAAATTATTATTTTATTTTATATATTTTAATAAGACATTTTCAAAAATTGAACTATTTCAAATTCATTTTCTTAACAAAATGTTCGAGTCCATATAATTAAACAAATAATTTTTATTATTATTATTTATTCAATCTAGAAAAACATTCAAATAACAATAATTACAATAAATATTTGTATATTAATTATTTTGGCTTAATAAATATATTAAATCTCATATTATTTAATAATAGTTTTATACAATTACAAAAACTTGATCTAATATCATAAAAACAAAGTGCAAATACTGATAAGAAAACGCTTCATTAAAACCAATTCAATTTCTTCGTCATTTTTGCGCCACCATCAAGTTACTACAAGTTCAAGCAACATTTTTTCAAGACACAAACCATTTTAAAGGATCTTATCTCATTTAACGTCGTTATTATGGAATCAAAGAAGTTAAAAGTTAAATCTTTATAGAGGAAAGAAAAATGGCCGACCACTTACAGCATCATCCTCGTGGTTTAGTGTAACCTTGTTTTGAGGAAAGGCACGATTGAACGAAAATCCAATGATCAAGGTCATTTTCACCGAGGATGCCGCGCCAGCTACCGAGGAAATTCACTTTTCCGGGACAGGAAACCGGCAACGCCTCGTAATTCGTTTTCCTTGATTTTTGCACCGCGTTTGCCATCCAACGATCTCGTCGATTAACCGTTTCACGGTTTCACGGCTAAAAAGGACCATTAAATTTGTTAGATTCGTTGGGAAAATTCTTTGTGACAGTGTTATGAAAAGTAAAACGAGATAACAGGAAAAAATTACTTCAAAACAGAAGTAGTAATTTTACACTGTTTTTTTGGATTTCGTTTTTATTTTGGGAATCATCAATTCATTGAGAAGAAAATTATATATATATATATATATTAATTTTTATAAAAGAAAAGGGATAAAGTTTGGAAAAGTGAGAATGCACTTCATCACGTAAATTTATTTACTTTTTTCAAAAGATTATTCTATTAAAGAAAAAAATTTATAAAATTTTCACCAAAATAATTAATTAATCCATTGAATTTTGTTTGCTTTAAGATTTGTTTCTATTTACAACAATATTCACGACAAAGTTTAAATATTTTTTTTCATCTGTTTAAAACACAGTATAAGAGATCATAGTGATGGATAATTACGTTATAATTATCATGAAATTCTGATGTGCGCTCGAGGAATCTGATTATATGTACCACGAAAAATCGACCGACAAAGGTTCATAACGCGTGACCGAGTTGCGTTCCAAAATCCAGCTGGAACATCCGCTATTCTTTTGTATTCGATCGATCGATCCTCGTTCCCTTCCGGCGGATGCGCTCAATCTTCTCCATCTTCCTGATCTCATTTCTCTTTTTTCAAGCATTAATTAGAGCAATTAAAAAAGAAAGAGAACGAAAAGAAGAAAAGTGGAGATAAAAAAAGAAAATTAAATATTCTAATTTTTAAATATATTATTGTAAGTATTATAAATTATAATTTATAAGAAACGTTATATGATTAAGAACAGATATGATAATTATAGAATGAATAGTAAAAGAAAAAATGATCTTGACCCAGACTATAGAATGAATCCACGAGAATAAGGAAAAGGCTTCTTGTTGCGAAATCATTGGAGTCTGAATTGACTCGATCATTCTTCCAAATATTCCCAGTATTGACCTTGAAAATATTTGTACAAGGTTGAGAACACGAGAATCTCTCTTCTTGAGAAATTTGAATAGTTGATCAATTTTCGTATCTTTATTTTCCGTGATGAAACTAAAAATAAATTACAGATATTGTAATATTAGCATAATTGATATATTTTAGAGATTACTTGGAATTATGGGGATTAATATAATTATTAAAAGATTTCTTTTACTTATGATTTTTTTTATTAAAAAACTAAAGATTATTTTCTTGAAAGAAAATTCAAAAAAAAAAATTATAAGATTCAATAAATTTTTATTGAATAAATTTTTTAGTTTCCAGATTTCAAAACAAATTCTCGAATTTCAATTCGTTATCTAAAAATTGTTGCCACAAAATTATCAAAAAGAATTTCAACACTTTTTATAAATTTTTATAAATTTTTAATTAAATCGATTCCTTCAAATTCTCTTCTTTTATTATATTTTATAAAAATTTGCAAATTAATCTAAATTTCAAGTTGAAATAAAAATTCCCTAAAGATTCACCGTCGGTTTACCAAGGATAATGATAGCAAAACAATAGAATTATCGATATCGACTAAAACACAATTTTGGTTCGAGAGAAAATTAGGATCGTAACTTGCGACCTAAGAGAATTAATTGCGCATTACGTGAACGAGAGATTACACAAGGCTAATCGAGCATTTCTCGATTCTAGGGTACGGTCATATTGCTCCGAAGACTAAGAACGGGAAAGTGGTAACCATATTCTATGCCATCGTCGGAATTCCCCTCATGCTACTCTGCCTCTCGAATATAGGTGATATTATGGCCTCGAGTTTCAGGTAAACTTCAGGAATTTAAAAATGCACGATAACGCATCTGATTCTTATATTTTAATATTATTATCTAACTTGTAATTAATTTATTACTATTTTAAAAGCAAAATGGACTAAAGTTATTTATTAACTTGTAAGAATTAGAAAATTGTTTTCGTTTTTTTTTTGTTATATATTTATTTCTAATACTTTTAGCAAATTTTTATGATTTTCTAAATTAGCGAGTTTTCCAAATTATTAAAATGAATTTAAAATTATCTATTTTTTTTTTTTTTTTTTTTTTTAGATTTTTATTATTGGTAAAGTTTGCTGTTACATATGCACCAAGCCACCAAAAAAAAGACGGTCGAGAAGTCATTTTGTTAGATCATATTCCATGCGACAACCAGGGTATATATTTATTTAAACCATCAAAAATAAAACAATAAATAAAATATATGTTTATAATGAATAAAAATTATATATTTCGAAAAGACGATATGGTGGAAGCAAAGGTGGTTTTCGAAGACCCGTCAGAGTAAGCCAGATATCAGCTGATTCGATTTTGTCTGACAGTCTAGCAAGATCATCATATTTTGACATGGATTATAAGTATGATGTATTATATTATATTAATATTACTAATTATAATTAATCATTAAAAATATTAAATATTTTAATATATAATATTGTTGTCTATAGATATAATCCTCGTCGATACAGCGAGGCTGGAGAAGAAAGAAGGACAAGTTCTTCTTATCAATTATCTGGAAATCCAAATTTCGAATTTAAATCGGCAACAGTGTCCAGATACTCAGATTTGCCAATAGCGAAATCGAACAAAGGTACTTGAACACGTTTCATGATATCTATATTCCTTTTGATGAAAATTTTTATATTGGAAAGTTTGCTGTTACATATGCACCAAGCCACCAAAAAAAAGACGGTCGAGAAGTCATTTTGTTAGATCATATTCCATGCGACAACCAGGGTATATATTTATTTAAACCATCAAAAATAAAACAATAAATAAAATATATGTTTATAATGAATAAAAATTATATATTTCGAAAAGACGATATGGTGGAAGCAAAGGTGGTTTTCGAAGACCCGTCAGAGTAAGCCAGATATCAGCTGATTCGATTTTGTCTGACAGTCTAGCAAGATCATCATATTTTGACATGGATTATAAGTATGATGTATTATATTATATTAATATTACTAATTATAATTAATCATTAAAAATATTAAATATTTTAATATATAATATTGTTGTCTATAGATATAATCCTCGTCGATACAGCGAGGCTGGAGAAGAAAGAAGGACAAGTTCTTCTTATCAATTATCTGGAAATCCAAATTTCGAATTTAAATCGGCAACAGTGTCCAGATACTCAGATTTGCCAATAGCGAAATCGAACAAAGGTACTTGAACACGTTTCATGATATCTATATTCCTTTTGATGAAAAAACAACATGCTTCTAAATAGTAATTGCATTCAGCCAGTTCCAAGATGACAACGCAATCATTAGACAGGAAGTTGTTGATGCGTTCTCCACATGACATTGATCGTTCCTCGGTTTTGTGCAATAAGTACGCCTTGAATGATTTGGAGAACGAGTTGCGACGTTGGCAAACTTCTGCCGGAAACACAAGTAACTATACAACGATCGAGATAATCAATATTTTCTTATAAATTTATTTATATTAATTATTGATATTTTTATACTCTTGATTTTTATGCTCATTTATTCATTTATATTTCGAATTTATTTATTTACATTTTTAATTTATTTGTTTGTATTTTCGATATATTTATTTACGTTTTATTTATATTATTTTTTACATATTTCATTTTTAGTAATTTTATCATATTCTCGATTTATCTATATTTCCGATTTTATTTACAATAATCAATTTATCCATTAATATCTTTAGTATTTACAGTCAAAATTATGGACAAATATTTTGCATATAGATTAACAATCATAAATCTGTTTTTAAAAATCTGTTTTAAAAAATATAAATCTCATTATATGGAGAACAGATCTGTTTTATTCTTCTGATTAATATCATTATATCATTCGCAATAGATGATACGAGCAAGTCAAAGGAGAAGCCAGAGGCGACAAAAACTCGTGAAAATAGTGAGAAACAAGAGCCATTAGTGACGAGGTCGTTGCCCAGAAGATGCTTATCGATGGAAGGTGCGACCAGCAACTACAGAATGAGTCTGCCATCGTCTTTACAATCGTCGATTTATTTGGATTCAAGAAAGTCTCAAGTTCCAAAAACCAGACGTTATAGAAACAACTATCCTATTGGTAAATCAATTTTTTTATTATTATATTTAAAAAATCTTCAAAGTCTTATAATAATGTTCAAATATTAAAATTAAAAAAAATTTTTACAAATATCATGATATTTATATAAAATATTATTAATCATTATAAATTCTATTTTTCATTCATATACTAATTTTTCTAACTTTATTTTTTTCTTAACATTCGCACTTATTTATAATTGTTAAGTGTTAATTATTTTTTATCATTCTTTTTTGTTTTTTCATCAAAAAAGCTCGATCGTACAGAAGGGACACATTGCCATCCGATATAATGTCCTCAACTGGGTTTCCTGCACATAGACAAGTATACGTAGACGATTTTGATTCGGATTATGAATATTATACTAACGATGATCAGGAAAGACAACAAATAAAACCGGTACCAATATGGCTATGCGTTTTCCTGGTGGTTAGTTACATTTTTGGTGGTGCCTTCTTGTTTAGTGCTTGGGAACATTGGCCATTCCTCGATTCTGCATATTTTTGCTTTATTACACTTACCACTATAGGTTAGTACTATTTTTTTCTTTTTTTTTTTCTCTTTAATTATTTATATTCGGCATATTTTTCCAATATTTAGTTTGATAGCGTTTAATGTTTATGTTGGACTTTATTCTTTTTTCTTTTTTAGTAATATTAATTTGGAAATCTTAAAAAATGTTATAAAATTTAATAAATTTTGAAGTTTTATTATCTCTATTTATTTTTGCAGTAAGTACCATTTTTATATTATTTATTTTTTATATATAGTATTATTATTTAATTTAACATCACTGTCGCGATATTATTCTAGAAGTCATAAAAAATGATAATTTTTAAAAAAATTGTATCCAAAGATATCATTTTTCCCCCAAAATTTTAATTGAATTTTTCATTTGAACCGGCTAATTGATAACTTCCACATAATTCTCTAAACACATCATTCGTTTTCTACGAAACAGAAGATTCATTCATTCTTTTCTCAAAAAGTTCATTTATCTACTTATTATTGTTTGTGCATCGAATAGAAATTAATAATTTATAATATATCTGTATATTAAGATATATAAATTTCTGTAAAAAATTTAGTCAAAAATAAAATAAAACAAAAATTATATAATATTGCAAATAAATAAAAAAAAATTATATACTCATAAAAATATAATTTTTGTTATAGATAGTTTATTATTTCTTTTTCTGAAAAAAAAAATTTCCTTTACATTTACACTGTTAATCAATATTTTAGAATCACCAATATATATGCATTGAATTAAAAAATTATCAAGATTACACAAATAAATATAAATAAATTACCATTTATTATTTGATCAATCCAAAAGAATAAAAGAATAACATTGAAAGGAAGAAAAATTGGATAAAAATAATTGGATTTCAGGATTTGGTGACTTCGTACCAGCGTACAAATTAGACGCCCATAAAGGAATTGCGGTTTGCTCGTTGTACTTGTTATTTGGAATTGCTTTGCTGGCGATGAGCTTTAATCTGGTGCAAGAGGAGGTCATCAACAACGTGAAGAACGTCGCAAAGAGGCTCGGGATCATCAAAGAGAGTGACGACGAGGAAGATGCCGACGACTACGACGCGTACGACGTCGAATACAACGATGAGGTCGACAACGAACTCGAGGGTTACATCCTCGATACCCCTCGATCTCACTCGATGGCTAGAAACGTTCGCGGAATTTCCGTCGTGTAACCAACCCCCTCTGACCGAATTTCTTCTCATTCACCGATCCAATTCTTTTTTTTTTCGCCAATTTTCTTTTCTTTTTCTTTTTTTTATTTCTTTCCTTTTTCTTATTTCTTTTCTCTTCTTTTTTCACTGATAATATTGGTGAATAAAATTTTTTTCACCTAGAATATTTACATTAATCCTATATTTTTCTATGCTAAATTTTAATTTGCAATCAAATTGCATTAAAGAACTTGTTAGGAATTAATTCTTTTTCACTTGAAAATTTTGGAACATAAAAGGATGTAAATATATTTTCCATTTTGTTTTTAAAATATATTTTAAATGAAAAAATTGAAAATTGGAAATAGAAAATAAGATTTGGATAACCTATCCAGTTAATAGATTTGAAAAGTTTTTTATAAAGAATGTAAAGAAAAAATTTTTTTTGCGATTAATGTTTCTTGACTTGGAAATTTTGTAGAAGAATTGCGAGAATATTCTTTTAGTTTCTAGTTGTATTTTTTAAATGAAGATGGAATATATCATCTTTTTGTTTATTCTATATCATAAAAGTTCAAAATTCGTTTATTACAACTTTTTTAATTCTTCATTCAAAACCATTTAAATCTTATGTCAACATTCTAAAAAATGAATTTCAATTTCCAGAGAATTACTAAAATAAAAAATTGAATCAATCAATTGAATCAAAATTCTAAATATAAACGTAAGGATTAACTAAAGAAAGTTCTAATTTATAAAATATAGAATTGTGAATTGAAAAGGAAAAATTAATATCAAAAATTTTGAATATGGGAGAATTGATTAGAAAGAATAATAATAAAAAAGTTCCTAAATGTTTTAATATTCACAAACAATATATATTATTGGAGAATGATTGAAGCGAAAAATTAAATAATGTTAAAAATTTTAGATATAAACACAAGGATTGACTAAAGAGGACAATACTTTCAGAAAGTGTTTCAATATAACAAAATGGTGATGTAATACTTACAAGACATAAGTAGGCAAAAAAGTGGCGCCAAACTGATAAATTTCGAGCGCGTTACGGAAACGATTCCGGAGGACATTAACGTCTACAGGGTGTCCAGAAAGTCAAGATTCGAGTCGTAGCCAGCGGTTGGATCCGGTTATTTTTGGCAACGCGCTATTTTCAGTTCAACGTCTCGAACCAAATGGCACAAAATCAGTCTGCAAGAAAGCCTCGGGGAAGATTGGCTCGTTTTCACGCAATTATCCGTGGAAAAACGATCATTCAAACTTGCATGAAACCCAATGTCAACGAGTGTCTTTAAAAATCCCTGTTTAACTTTTGAATAAATGAATAAAAATTGAGAATGAAAATTGAATCGATGGAAAATTGTTGTTTAACTTTTTTATCATTAATTAAATGTAATCGATTGAAGTTTAATTTGTAAAATGATGAGATAAATTGGGATTTGCTAGTTTCGTGCGCATGATGGGTATGTGATTAATGAGTTATACGAGTTATATAGTGAATGGAGTTAAGTGTTTGTTTTGAAAATTTTGAAAGAAGAAACGTATCGTTCATTGAAGATACTTGTAGCTTTCTTGGAAATATTTAAATTGGGATTGTTTATAAAATAAAACCGAGAAATTAGTGTTTGTTAATATCGTTCAAATTGTTACATGTGATTATTCTTAACGGATATCGAACGATTGAATCATGCAATTATTTGCTTATATTCAATTTAATTATTATGTACAAGATATTTCTCGATAATTATTTAAAACTCAATTTCAAATAAATATAAAAAATTTAAAAGGGATAGAGAATAATTACATAATCATAATTTTCAAAAATTTCTGACGACTGTAAAACAAGTAAATATCAATATGTGAACAAATAATCAAGATAAATTCAAATATTTTTTGAAGGGAAAATGATTTATAAGAAGAAACGTGAAAGTTCAAGAAGAATGAATCCTGGAGCACGTGTCAACACGTGGCGAGCCGTCTCGTCGGATCGCCTGACTCAAAAGCATGGACTAGTCTATATTTAAAGCACTACGAGGAGAAATGAGTTATTTCCAGGATTCTCGAAAATCCGAGAAAAAGTAGGGAAAATAAAAAATAAGAAAATAGTAGAAACAAGTAAGTAAAGTAAAATAAATGAAAAAGAGAAATGTTAGGTATCAATAAGTTTGATCGTAAAAAAAATTGTTAATAAAATTTGAAAGAGTGGTTTTTAATATTGTTAAAAATTCGCAGGAAATAAAATAGAAAATAGCAAAAAATAAAATAAGATATAAAAAGAATAACTACGAGATAATGGAAATTTCCAGGTCGAAGAAGATAGAAGCAAATAAAATTTAGAAATTCGATTAACAACTTCAATCGAAAAAGTCGGAAAAGTAAATAAATAATTTTGACTTAAAAAAGACAAAAATAAAAATAACGTAACTAATTTTCCACTTCGAAAACGGAAAACAAAATAGAAATGATTTCGATTAATAACTTCGGTCGCGATGAAAATTTTGATCTCGAAAAGATAAAATAAAGGAACACTGGATCAATAGCCTCGATTCTAGAAGAAAGAAACACCATCCACTTACACTTTGAAAACAAAATGAAAAGGACTTTGGGTCGACAGAACTTTCATGGTGATTGAACAAAATTTTGATATCGAAAAATTAAAATTATATAAGGAAAAGTATATCGTAAAGAGGAAAACGAACTTCGGGCAGAATTGTTCGTGGTGAACGGCCCAATAGATTTCGTCCAAGCAGTTTTCGATTCTTGGCGAGTCGTGGGCGAAGTCGATAGCAGAGAGCGATTCGAACGATATAATCCACGAGAGAAAGAGAGAGAGGAGGAAGGGAGCGACGTTTCCTATTAAACGCGGATCGTGTAATTTTGCTATTGCGCCGGGTCACCGATCGCGTATAATCCGTGATCCCCTTTTTAGCATTCTACTGTGTTCCTTCTATTAATTTATCCGGAACGGATCGTAGAGATCGGAGGAAGCTTCTATCCGGAAAAAAAAGTGGAAAGGGAATCGATCGTGGAAAACGAACCGGAAGGAATTCGTCCTCCAAAGGGTCGGTTGATGAGGAGGGCCGTTTCCTTTGAAAATGCACACGCGTAATTATACACGCTTATTTAGATATGTCATACGTATATGCACATAGCTAAGTGTTTTGGGAGGAATTAATAATTTGAAATAATAATGATTTAACGAGAAATTGATTTTTAATCAATTTTTATATTGCGTAATAAACAATTAATTATACGTAACTTTTTTTTTCTATTATTCAGGTAGATAAACAAGAATTTTACGTCAAAACAATTCTCTCTCGTAACAATCTTCGAAACAAAGTTAAGAATATACTATTATATCAACGCAAAGAAAAGAAAGAATCTCGTTAAATTTCGTTTTACAAAGATAATATCGTATAACTCGCTAGAACTTGGAAGAATGTCATAACATAGAGCCACGTTCACGTTACAAACGAATGATAGACGCGAGTTCATAGTCGACACGTATATATATATATATATATCTAGACTTGTTTTTTTATTTTACGACAGTTACCGAAATACATTCGCACGGTTCAGCTGAATTTCATGCGTGTTACATCTTTCTGTCGTCCAACCGTGACAAACGATCGACGCCATTACACAAGGAACTACGAAATTACGCCTCTTCTCGCGCGTTTTGTTAAATTCGGTATCGGTTCGTTAACTCGACAAACCGACCTCTTAGCAATTTCGGAATGGACGACCTTATCGACCCTCTTCAACCCTGTTCATCAGATCCTATTACGGTTCACAGTCTTCGAGAGATAGGAAAAATTTTGAAGCGAAAAAAGATTTTCCTCTTTTTTATTTTTTGAGATTTAAAGTTAATTACGAAAATGGACGCTGGAAATTTTAATTGATCGATACACGAATAATATTATTGTAAAATTGTAAGATTATATTTAAGAAATCTTTAATTACGATTTTATAGAAGTAGATTCGTGAGAAGGAATGTCAAAAAATGTTAAAATTATAGACATAATGTAAAAAAGTAATTATCTTAAATCCTAAATTAAGTCTCTTGCGCGTATCACTGCAAATCAAAGGATAGAGAAGACACGTGTAATGCAGAAGATAAAAAAAGAAAGATCTTCAAATTTCAATATTTCTTGCTTGAATGTACACGTATAAATTATCATATAATACATTAACATTAAAAGTAAAAAGTTTTAGAAAGAAAAGAAAACCTTTTACAGATTAAATTCTAATAAAAGTTTTTGATTACAGTTTTTGAGTTTACGTTAAAAAGAAAAAAAAAGATAACGCACTAATGTTCTACCGTACACGATATCCAAACTAAGTCTAAAAAGGAAACTAAAAGTACACGAAAAGAAAAAAAAAGAAATCTAAATTAAATTTTATTAGCTAAAAATCTGTTGCGAATTTCAGCAGTTAATCCATACCATATACACGATCACGAAGAGTAACGAACCCAACGCTAGGATCACTCTCGAACAGTTTGATAAAGTCAGAAACGGATAAAATGGTGTACAGAGCGTGAAGAAAAGAAATAAGAAAAGAAAAAGGGCGAACGATATCTTGAGCAGCCGAGTGCCGAATGAATGATGGAAGGGGATCGAGGATTCGACGTAGAGAGGTATTCGGCTTCCAATAGAAACTGGCAGCGTGGAAGTTATCGGGTCCGCGGAGGAAAGCGAAGAAAACGGAGGCGGAAACCTTGGGGCGAGAGGATCGTGGACTGGACCAGGGCTCTGATCGCTTTCCTCTTCAGCAATGTTGGGATAGTGTGCTTGGTGGTCGGTTACACCATAGCTGGTGCCTTCCTTTTCACCCATATCGAAGGTAGAAACAACCTGGACATAGTTGGAGACGTGATCAGGCTGAGAAACGTGACAGCTGCCACTCTCTGGGAACTTACCTCTAAGGTGAACATTTTTATTTATTATTTTATTTACTATTGTCGTGTAAAATAGTGGACCGTTTTACCGATATTGACAAGCCGTTTTTTTTTCTTCTTTCTATCAGATTCTGTTTTACCGATAGTGCTTTCTCTATTATTGGTTTAAATTTCACGATTACGCGTAATAGTTCGCGCGCAACAATGGTTTTAATGATTCTCAAAGTTATTTTTTTTTTTTTTTTTTTTTAATTTTATGGTATTAGTTTATTGCTTTTTCAAAAGATCGAAAAAGAATTTGTGTCCACAAGTGTTTATTAAAGTAAAACGATCGTAAAATTTGAACTTTATTACTTTTTTTATTTAGATTTTAGAGAAAATTTTATGTTCAGTTTTATTTGAATTAAGTATCTATTAAAGAATTAATAAATTTTAGAGATGAGAAGAAAGCTGTTTTGAAATATTCTTACTACACTTGAGAATGATTAAATTAAGAATTATATTATTAGAAGAATTAATTAAAGTTTGAATATTAGATGATAATAATTAGATTATTGAATTTTAGGATACCAATTTTAATAATAAATTATCATAGTCGATGTTAAAACTTAAATCCTCTTGCTATAATTTATTCTTAAACTTTTCGAGTTTAAAAGTTAGACAGTTTTATCGTATTTCTACCACGTGTTCGTAAAGGAGAACGTGTTTTCCGAGAGAATCTGGAAAGCGAAAGTGAAGGCGATCCTCGAGAATTATCAGAAGAAAATGGTAACGGCTATAAAAAATGGCTACGACGGCGCTGAAGAAAATAAAAGATGGAGCTTTGCCGGGGCGTTTCTCTATTCCCTTACTGTGATTACCACGATCGGTGAGTTTATTATTTTCACTTTTATAACGGTATAACCAAATTTATTTCCTTCTTTATTTCTTTCGTCGTTTAATTTTTTGCAACTTCGTCCGAAAAATTTCGGATACAAAACGAGCGAGAAAAATTTCTATCCGTGTATTTCGTAAAACTTCAATTTTTCATTCGATATTTTTTAATTCGAAAGAATAAATTCAAAGGGATAAAAAAAGAAGAAGGAAAAAGAAGCTTGTAAAACTACTATCGAAAATTTCTTTTTTTTTTTCGCTTGGTTTTTTGCGGTTTGGTTGCAAGAAAGAATTGGTATTAAAAATATAACGAAATTCTCTATCACGTAAAAACTTTGTTGGTTGAAAAACAATGCCGGTTGAAAAAAATAATTCGTTAAAAAAAATGATTAAATTTGTTGTATCGCATAGAATTTTTATTTTGATTCAATTGCTTGCACTAATGTGAATGGGAGGACGAGATAGTTTCATAACACGAAACTTTCATTCTTTCTTCAATTTTTTGCAATTTATTTTCAAGGAAGTGCTAGAAATAACAAAATAACCCAAATTTTTTTATATATAAATAAATAAGAAAATAATTCGATTTTTAATCATGCTTTCGAAATTTATTATCTTAAATATTAAATTCTTTTTTTCCAAATATCTTAATTTTTAATCAATCATATCACATATTTTTTTTTTTTCACCGCCACAATAAATTAAGTCATACTTTAAGAAAAAACGCAAAATTAACTTTTATTCGAAGAAATTCTAATTCTTTATTTAAAAACGTATCTCTCATTTTTAACATTTCAATTCAAAACTGTACTGTATCTAAAAAAAATGAGAGATTATAGATAAGAGCAATCCCAGCTTATCCATTTTTTTCATTGCAAACGTCCCAAATATTTTTACATTCTTTTCAACTCATCTCGACAATTATAACCCAAAACCCATTAATCCCCTCCCCCACCCCTGTCGCAAACAACATCATGAATCAGGGGGGCACGTACAACATAAACCCGAAACTAAGCCCGTCAAGTTCAATTTTTTCACGCTTCTCGCGTTTTGCATAATCGCGGTTCACCGACCGGCGAGAGAAGAAAATCGTGCTCTCGAGCGAGAAAAAACCGAAAAGGGGGAGGGGTGAAGGAAGACGAAGGAGAGGAGGTGGAGAGAGAGAGAGAAAAGAAGGGGGAGGGGAATAGATGCTGGAAACATTCGCGGGACACGGTAGTTTTCCCTTGACAAAGTTTAATGTTTCGCGTCGGGACGAAGTGGCGAGACGCTAACCAGCTTGCAAAAAGAATGGTTAATGCCGAAAAGAGGAAACGCGAGTGGCCTTCAACGTTTGGAACGCAATAGTCGTCGTCGCCGCCGACTCGAGGAACGTGTTTTCAAAATTCCATGAAGGGGAGATAGGAAAAGGGAGACACGTAGAGAGCTGCGATTTGCTCGAAAAATCTACGAGCCCCCTTGGGGGAATGGGACGAAATTAAGTTAGGACCTGTGGATCTGTGCAACGTGGATTTTCTTTTTTTTTTTTTTTTTAAAGTCAGACCGTAGTTTTTTCTTTTTTTTTTTTTTACGTTACCTACATTAGGTTCTCATTAGGTAAATGTAGGATCTTAGAGGTTGAAACCTGGACAAATTTCAAATCATAGAGTTCTGTGTGAGGCTAAGGGTTTATTTTAATCAGCACGAGGGGAAGGATGTGTTACGTTCATCCTTTGCTTTAAGAGAGATTTCTAGAGTTGTGAAATTTAAAACTCGTACGGTTGTGTATTTAGTTTTAATCCCATAATTTTTATAATTATTCCTGTAATGTGATATTTTTAATTTGTTCGTATCTTTATCGGTGTCATCCTTTGCTTGATCGTGGAAAAATATTTATTTTTTTTTAGATACGAAAAAGAATACGATTTATCAAAAATTATATTATTACTTAAATATATTCGATCCAATTTTCTTCCCTTAAACACTGAACGTTTAAGAACATTTCTTTTATATCTCGTATCTCTACGAACAAGCGTCAAATTGACAATATATCCAGATCTAGAGATTGTCATGTAGAGATTAGAAGGCTTAAATAAAATGAATTCGTATATTTGTCTCTTATTAATTATATAAAAGTCAGCAAAGAGAAACGAAATATAAAACTGTTTCTGTAATGCGTCCCGTAAACCTAATCATCATTTCATTATATTAGAAACATATTTAACCCTCCTCTCCATAACAATTTGCCAAATTTTTATTCTCTCCCTGAAAAAGGATATGTAACGTCATAAGTAATCGAATAATAATATCGCACAGTTACACCTTATCCTTGAACGAATTTCCTTCGAATTATTCGATACTCGGTCGTATCGAACGTCTTAATACGGAAGAAATCCAAGGCGAAAAAGGTGAAAACTCTGAAGAAGTTAATTACACAGTTTCCTCGATATCGAGCGGTGGATCGCGTGAACATCGGTGGAAAACGATTTTCGTACTTACACGAGGCGACAAGCCACGAATCATACGCGGGGGAGTTCGTTAAGCCGGAAATTAATTAACGGCCGAGACTGAGCCACCGGATTGGTCGACCTCCTGAGATTAACGAACCCACTCGAGGGGACGTTGATCTTAATCGATCTTCCGATCGACACTGTGTATCGCCGTCGATTAATTAATTCGTTGATTCCTCGTGTCCAGATAAAACGTCCAATCAGGAATTTTCTTATCAAAGTCGGTAAGAAACGTGTGTTTCTTTAAAAATTAAACTTTAATTTGAAAACGTTACTATTTTTATTGGAATTTATAATAGAATTGCGTGTGTGCAAATTATTTAAAGAAGAAAGATTAATACATTCGAAGTAAAACAATTCTCGAGAATTATTCTTGAAAATAAATAAATAGATTCAAATATGGTGTGATTAGTTGTGTAAATGATTTTTAAATCTATTATATTATAGGAAATTTAATACTACATGATTTTATTTTTGTATCTAATTTTATTTTAACTTTGATTTCATTTTTTTAATTTTATATATATCTTTTTGAAGAATAGAATCATTAATATGCAAATTGAAATTAAAATACTTTAGAATTTAATTATTTATATCTATCATTTTTCGGATTATTTCCAATAATTTAAAAAATATATATTTTATCATAATTTTTTATTCGAATATAAAAATCTGTCATCGTAAATTTTAGATTTCGCAAAATTTTTAAATCGATATCGAGACGAATTAAACGAATACACAAATGCATATTCATATACGTACATTATATCAATTATATATTATATATTAATAATTAAAAATTAAATATAATCCAATTATATTCATACATCCATCGATAAATTCAGATTTAACGTTTCATACAACTTTTTCAAATCGTTTATTTTTCGTTCTGTATCGAAACGGCGATATAAAACATTTTCTCACTCCACGTCCGGCAAAAACGATTCTACTAGAGATCATAATCGTTTGTCGGAGTACGCTCGAAACAGGAGTACCAAAACAGAAGTGGCAAGATCCGTTTTAGCTGCGCGATTAATTATACGAAAAAGCGGGCGGTGTTCGGCGCCAATTGTCGGCCGAGTTTAAAGGATGAAGCCGATAACGAGGCGGACCGGTTTACACGAGGGACTTGGGCTCGAGTTTACCTGCAACTTTGTCCCTCGTTAGAAATTGCGCGCCGTTCGATCATTTGGGTACACACAGTCCTCTCTGTTAAACCGTTAAACTTTCATCCTACTATTATCTTAACTGAAACCCTCTTACTCGAGAGAGAGAGGAGAGGGGGGGGGGATGATCGTCGTTAAAAATATCCCAAGATCACCGATCTCAAACGCGTATCAATCAAATCAAATCGTTCGTTCATCATGGATGAAACATACTTGTCTCACTTTTATTTATACGAGTTTTTATTGCAATAAGTGAGGGGATAATGTTTTTTAATCGAAAGGGAAGAAATGATTGTTTAAACGTAAAGAAACTAGACGATTCGGTTTTTACAATTTTTCTCTTGAAATAAATGACTCCTCTTGACTTTTTCGTTTTAATATAAGTGAAAGCTATATTTCTTCATCTTCTTCTTTGGTTTCTTCTGGTTGAATCTTGGAGCGAAAAGATAAATTCTTAAATTTCTTTAAGAGCTCTTGTATTTATTTAGTAGAAAAGGATTTCTTTCGCGGTTCCTTTTCGAAATAAATAATTTCTTTCTAAATAAACGTTTTTTAAGTTTCAATTTTTTCCTTTTTAGCGAGTTTTCGTTTTATCCCTTATTCCTTTCTTGGAATAAAAATTTCCTTCGCGTTTCTTCTTTGGAACAAATATAAAAGTCCCTTTTATATCCGTTTTCTTCTTGCGACAAGAAGGGAAGAGAGACTTTTCGAAAAGAATTTTCATTTTTCTTCCCTTCCGAAATATCATTTCGAGAGAAAGATTCTTACTCCGAATGAAGAAGATGTCTTCATTTTTCATTTCTTCTTCGAACGATAATTTAAATTCAGATCTTAAAGGAACATTTAGGAAAGGAAATATAACCGATCTCACCTGTGTGACGGAAATCGAATCTTCGCTCGACCTTCACTCGATGATCTTGCGAGGTTGCCTCGAATACGAGTCAATTAATTTCCGATTCATCGTTGACCGCGTTTCCGAAGGACGTGTTTAGGCCGACTCAACGACAGCCTGTCCGATACGTTGAAAAATCCACGAGCAAAAATCCTTGGAACAATCTCAAATTCCGATTATCCTCTCACCGTTCGACATATAAACAACATCCAGAACCGATACGACGCGATCTTAAATCACTGGGACCTCTAATAAGCTGTCTGTACGTTTCCGCAAGCTAAGCAAGATGAAACGTGGACGATGGAAATGGGGGCTGGAATAACAAAAACGTAATAAATTCCGTGTATCGCATAGGAAAGTGGGACAGAGAGATCGAAATCGAAAGAAACAGCGATATCGATAACGAACGCGCCTTTATCCAACCTATAAATCATTCTTGAGCGGAAAAATGCTGGTGGATGATAGAAGAAACCTGTGCAAACTCGTACGGTATCGCTAGGGATCCCTAGATTTACAATTTATAGGGGATAAATCCGCAACACGTTGTTTTTACATAATTTATAATATATTAAATTTATCGTCAAAGTTATCGTTAAACAGAAGAAATAAAACTTACTACGTTTCTCGTAGAAAATTTTCTCGCAAAAATAGCACGAAATTAATTGTTTCTTCAAATTTCGATATGAAAAAAGACACGAAGCTTCAAAGATTCAATCGATATTATACGATTTCTAATTTACAAACGACTCGTTCGACTTCTCCCCTCTTTATACGTATTCACCTTGTAAAATATAAAACCTATCTCGACGTTAAAATCTTCGTATAACATCCATTTCATCCTCGTTTAATAATAGTAGAAAAAAGTATGGTTTTATTTCGTCGAGAAAAACCGTACGTTGAAAGGTCGTCGTAATAATCGGCCACCTTCGCTTCTTTTTCCACGCGTAACGTCATCCGTGATATTTTCCTTTTTTAGACAAAGTAAATCGAGGGTCGTTGGTGGATATTAGGGAATTAACGACGCGAATTTTTAGCACGGATATGGAGGAATGCAGGTGTAGGCGCGCGCACGCCACCTTTTAATTAATTCCGGGACTCCCTCCCATGTGCTATCACCCTCTTCTGGATTCGAGACGAGACACCCCCTGCTATCCACTTTATCTCAACCGTGATTACAGGCCAGCAGCATCAGCCTAAAAGGGTCGGCTAGTCGACAGGCAGATCGATTCGCGAGCCGACCGTAGCTTGGCTAATGGTAACCGCTTTTGGGACGCGAGAAAACTCGAGACTCCGCGAATTTGATCGTTAAAGGGGGTGGTGTAAGAGTTGGTGATAATGGTTTGACGTGCTGAGACCACGATGCTCCAAATTGTTATTATCTCAAGGAAATTGTAGGATTTTAATTTTTTTTTTCGTGATTTTGGAAATGTTCAGGAAGAATCTAGGAGGATTTGTCCAAAGTGTGGAATATCCTATGATTTTAGGAATATCAGATATTCTATTATAGGAATGATCGATATTAAGTCGACGAATAGATTGAACTTGGATGCTCGCGTATTTATAAATTGAATTATGCATAGAAGAAGTTGGACGTACGAAAAATTAGATAGTCTAAATAATTAGATGTTTAGAAATTTTTAAATCACTACGTGAATTATGGAATGATTCAAATGTAATCGAATACACAGTAAGTTTCGCAGAGGAATACGCAGATAATGGATCAATGAATTATTTAATAATTGATCCTCTTTCTCCTCGCGAGAAATAGAATTCGCGATGAATTCCATTAATCAAAAATGAAATTCGAATTAGGGGATCGTGTCGCAAAGAGATAGTCGGAAGTATCGTGGGCCGATACGAAACACATAAATCATCGAAGATCCGTGTAATCAACGTGGCGTGGCGATCATTGACGGATCGGGGACATTAGTGGCGGTGTAACGCGACGCCAAGGAATTATTGGCGATTAACGGAAAATACCTGGAACCGATGTGTCTTGGTAGGCCGATGGGACACGAGATCGTTACACTACGAACTGATAATTTCGCTTGGACCGACCAATCAATTATCTAGATTAATAGCGGCATGCCCGATAATTCGTGGACGGACCACTTTATTTGCCTAGCAATTTATTAATAATTCACGTGAACTTTCGCGTTCTCTCGATTCTCTCTCTTCATGCATGCATAACGAGAAACCGATCTTCCGTGCTCGTTCAATCCTATTGATTACGAGTATGGTGTTTAAATTAATTTGAAAATTAATTACTTCGAATGTTTATGAGCATAAAAATATCAGAAACGAGTACATATTACGTTCCTATTATTTATTTGTTTACTCTCGTTCTCGTAAATTTTAATAAATCGAACCTAACCTATAAACCAAGCGGAAATAACACGAACAAAATTATTAACCTCTCCAAACGTAGAAACTTTAAATATTTTACAAAAGAATACTCGTACTTTCCAGGAGAGTATCGCTTCCCAATAAAAAAAGGAATATGATTTCTTTACGTATCTTTATCAGAAAAAATTTTTGAGAAACTTGTTGTCAAAACCAACAACATGGCGACCGTCGTGAAATTGATGATCGATGAATAATAATAATAAAAATGGTTGAAATCGTGCCACATCCATAAGTATTAAATATCCTTGTTTCACGAGATGGAAGTCCGTCGAAATTGCAAAGAAATACGAATTAACGACACGGAGGACAGGCGGAAAGCTCGTCGGTGCGAGTGTACGATTTAAAAATCAGCGAATAAGTGATGCGTTGCCGACGAATTTCCATTCTTTCTTCCTTTGTTGTTCCTTTAAATTTTTCCAACTACCATTGGATTGCCTCTATTAACAAAGCTTCGACAGAATATATTTCGCCGCTTCCTTTTTCCTTTTTTCTTCCATTTTTTTTATATTCCATTTCTTTTTTTCTCCCTCTTTTTTCTATTCCACCATTTTCTCTCCATTCCTTTCCTTCTTCTTCTTCTTCTTCTTTTTTTTTTTTATCTTTTTGTCGTTTAGTGCGAAACGTGTGCGTAGAAATGGAAAACATGGAAATATCGAAAGCGCAGGAAAGGCCAATAAAGCCGGAATTTCCAGGCTTCTGGATTATTTATGTTCCGAGCCGCTTTATTATAATTTATCGACAATTCACGGCACGATGATTTGTTTAACATCGTACGAGCCATCAGAGGCTTTGGGTTTCCGATATCCGAGCTAGAGCACGCGGTGGACCGTTGATTTAAATTCGAACGATTTTTTGGAAAAGGTATTTTTTCAAGAGATTCGTATCTTCTAGAACGAACTACTTTTCCTTTTTTTTTTTCTGCATTTTTTCTTTTTTATCAATGTCCCATGTATATAAAATCAATTAACGAATGAACTTTTCTCGATTATTTTAATGGATACTGATATATCATATAGTTTCGTGAATCTTATTTTTATTATTCTCATCTCAACTCGGGTTATTGTATACAGATTTACAAAAGGTAGGAAGCAAAAGCTTAACAGCGTTCACTAGAAAAATTCAGCCTCTTCGAGACTATTGTTCCACGAAGAATGAGTTATTCGAGCAAGTTTGAAAAGCGGAAGCAGAAATCCGGCAGTCGGCGGAACCCGGCGCGGGAAAGGGCGGTAAACAATTTTAACAGCCGGCCCTCGATATTCACGCTCCTTTCCGCCTTCGTAATCCCTCGAATACGATCCATAATTCGATTCGAACAACGCACCCGGAACGGTCGTGCAGTTACTTTTGGAGAAAAAAAGAAAAAGAGAAGGAGAAAGAAAAATTACTCGATCGAGTAATATCTCGGACAATATCGTTTCCAACTTTTCGACCGAATCGATGAATTTTCCTCTCCCTCTTGCCGATCTTTTTATATACGATGCGCGGCGGGTGTCGAACGGTCGACGTAAACTTATAGTTGATTAAGTAATTAATATCGTGCCCTCGCGAGAACATGCTCGATCAGGCATTCCTTTCTTTTCATAGTCGTTCAACTTTACCCCGATGACTGATGACCGCTGATGCTGGGGGATTTTAATTAAAATGCTTCGGGGATGACGGTGGTAGAAAAATTTTCCGAACTGCGGACGAGAGAAAGTTTGTTTTTACATTGAACTCCTTCTTTTTCTTTTTTTTTTTTCTTTTTTATTATTTCTATTTGGTTTTGATTTTAGGAATAGGATCTTCTTCTAGAAAGGGCAGATTAATGCTTTGAATTTTTTTCTTTTTTTATTATAAATCGATGACGATGGGAACGAATTTTTCACGATTGCGGATGAGAGGAATTTTATTTTGTAGAAAAGGAGCATCCTCCTGATGATAAAATTCTTGTTTGCAAAAAGATGGTATAAATATTTCCTGAATTATCCTGTTCTTATAAATTTTAAATATCAAAAAAAAGAAAAATGACGTTCATCTTATTTGTTGAACATTTAAACATTTTTACGGAAAGCGTAAGATAAAATATGAAAAAAAATTGACAAGACGTTATAAGCTCTTTTTTGTAGAGAACAAAAAATGAAGAGAATGGGGACTGATTCGCAGGTTACGGGAACATTTGTCCAAAGACGAAATGGGGCAAAGTGGTGACCATAGTATACGCCATAATAGGCCTGCCACTTTTCTTGCTCTATCTAAGCAACATCGGTGACATTCTCGCGAAAAGCTTCAAATGGACCTATGCTCGCTGCTGCCTGTGCAAGTAAGCTCTTTCTTCCTTTCTCGCCCATTTCTATTTCTATCTCACGGATCGTTACGGAAACGTTTAGATCTCGAATTGTTTAACCTATTATTGTTTTTACAGCATCTAACAATTAATAAAATTCGAGACAGAAATTCCTTTCTTTTTTTTTTTTTTTTACATTTTGAATGATTTTATTATTTTTTATAATTATACGAGATTCGTGATTAATTAATAATTCTTTTTTTTTAAAGGTGTCGTAGAAGACCAATAGAAATGGCATCAAGAGGAAGTTTGAAAAATGGTACCAACATAAGGAGAAATCATTGGCAAGTAAGTTTTTCTGAAATTTCATTAAAATTAATTTACAATCTATCATACAAGATGTTTTCCTCTTTATCAAAAAATTACTTTATACTTGCTCTGGGAAAAAAGCGTTTCTTCTATCATAAAATATTTTATTCAAAAAATTTAAGGAAATTATAACTTGAATAATTATTTGAAATAAACTAAAGTCAATATATATATATATATATACATATTTTCTGACTCGAATTCCAGGATAAAGAATAATTATAAAAACATTCAAAAAATTAATTTAAAAATTATTAGACAATTTTCCATTATAAAATTTTACGATAAATTACAAAGTTTTTGTCAATAGATGGTTGACATGCATGGAAAGGAGATTGACTCGGTTAGTGTAGATAAAGAAGTTTCGATAGAGAATGATGAATCGAAAGATGACGACGAGAGTAGTTATGATCCACAACGCGTCACAGTCCCTCTGACGCTTTGCATCGCTATAATGGTCGGGTGAGTGTCATTATTTTCTGATAAACTACGTTACGTATATATAATTTGAAATATAAAAATCTATAAATAATTTTCCATAAATATTTATACATCTTTTAAAATTTTGATCAAATTTTAAAATAGAAAGAAATATACAAACATACAAAGTGTTATAATTTTTTAATATTCCATATAAAAATCATATAATAGAGACTAAAAATATGAAAATTACATTTTTCGATAAAAATATTTTTATTTACATTGTAATTTCTTTTATTCTTGTTCATAAGAAATATTTATACATAAAATATAAATTCATTAGTATTTTATTCATAATAATTTCGATTATTCGATCATGAAATAATTCAAATATGAATTATGATTCTACAGTTATACATATATTTATATATATGTATAAAATATAATAAATTCGAAATTAATAAACTTTTGTTCGAAAACCGATAAATCGTGTTTTATCGTCGAATTATTAGAGATAATTTAAATAGGTACGAGGATCGATACGCGAAGTCGCTCTCTACATCTGACATATTATATAATATTTCTTAAGTTTTTACACGAAAATATCATCCAATGAAACGAAAGTTTATTTCTTGTTTTTTTTTTTTTTTTTTTTATTTAAAAATAAACAGTGTTGGAAATGAAAACTCATTCGCAAAAAGAAGAAAATTTATCACAAGGAAAATTGAATATATAGAAATCGTGAATGAAACAGTTGTTATTTTTAACTGTTATTTTTAAATATGGATCAAATTACAAATCTGGAGAACAATTTATTTTTGAAGCTTTCACATCACGTTATTTTTACTACTCTTTAAAAAGAAAATTTCATTGTCGTTTTCACACAATGGACTTTTAATTGTAATTTTTATCCATGATCGATATTTTTTAATTAAAATTATAAATGCTATTTCAATAGAAATAAACGTTTCTGTGTCACAAAAAAAAAAAATTAATAAACAAAAGATAATCTCGTAACCTTTTTATCATATCAATTTGAAATAAGGAGAACTCGCGTATCAGGAATAACCGTGTCATTTCTTCGAGAAACGTTTCAGGTATATTTGGGGCGGAGCCATTTTGTTCTCCGAATGGGAAGACTGGAACATGTTGGACGGTTCTTATTTCTGCTTCGTCTCCTTGTCGACCATAGGTTTCGGCGACATCGTGCCAGGTGACAAAATCTACGCGGCCCAGGGTCTCGATTTATCCTTCATCTTCTGCTCCATGTATCTAATGCTTGGTGAGTGGCGACCGATCTTTACACTTTTATCGGATTTGACGTTTAATGTTTCAAGTTCCCTACAGAGATCCATTTTTCGGCCTTCCCTTTTTCCCTTTCTCCCTCTGATTTTTAACGAAATGCGCTCATTAAGCTTACCAAATAATTTTCCTTCTTTTTTTAAATTATTTATCCGTTAAAAATTTCATTCCGTATCCGCACAAGTAATAAGAACAATATTATGTTTCTAATTTTGCGAATATTAAAATTTTTTTGCCTCCTCTACAGGGAAAAAAAAAAAAATTAAAATTTTCGAAGTAATTTCTCCCAGAAATAAGGCCTCGTGCGCAAAAATTCCATTCCACACATCCGACCTATTTTCTCACGAAGAATCACCCCTTTTCCTACCACTTTAAGCGAACCACTCTTGCGCATCACCCACAACAGGCTATTTTCTCCACGCGAGCCCTTAACAACACCCCTCGCATTTAAAATTTTTTTTAAACATCGAAAAATATAATCCTCGAGATAATCTTTCTTTCCCCCTTAAAATTTTCAAAATAAATAATTAAATTCCCCCTCCCCCAAAAAATAATCGAAAATGAGGCATTACCCGCAAAAATTCTGCTCCACGCATTCGACCTATTTTCCCCCCCACGAAAGAATCACCCCCTTCTCCCGCCACTTAAAGCACCCCAACCCCACGCGCATGGATCCTTAACGCGCGTCGAGGATGATCTCGTGCGAAACGGATATTAGGTGAAAGGTGGTTAAATCGTGGCGAAAATCTTGACCGGAGTTAATAATTCGTGATTATATCGTCGTGGACGCGTCGAACAGTTTCATTGAATAATATAATCCTAAACCTCGAAGAAATCGCGTTTCTATTCCCCTACTCTCTATAAATAAACGCGTTATTCGACCGATCGTCGAATCTCGACGAATCGATTCCGACAGTGTCCTCGTTGTTTCCATGATTTATCATTGTGTCAGGTTGAAAATAGAAATTGGTCTCCGATTTCTCGATACGATTCCGTGATCGATAGAATGATTTTTATCGCTCTTCATTTTCTTTATCACCGATCCTTTTATTCTCCGGATATATAATTTTTATTTTTATATTCACGACATTCGCATTTCCGTTCGTATTTCATTAGACGCGCTATTCCCTTTTTTTTTTTTTTTTTCTCATGATTTTACGACCATGGAATGCTTCTAGCAATTTGCCATTCGTTTTCCGTTTGTTGAAACTCGTTGATTAATTTTATTTCATCCTGTAAATTTCTATTCTGTTTCATATTAGCTCGCGATGATTTAGGAAACGGTCTATAAATTAAAAGATATACAGAGTTGATCAGTGTAAGCCGCTAAGTCTCTATGAAAACGATTCACAAGTTGGTTCAAGAATCTTTTTATTTGCTATTTAAATTTTCACTCGATATATCGATCGAATTAATTATTTACATCGATTAACTATTTGTTTATTAATTGATTTATCGTTATTACTGCGAATACAGCGACTTTATACAAAATTCAAATAATAGAAAAATTTATAGAAGGTGTATGACATGCAAAGAAGCACGAAATATTCACAGATATTATGATCAAGAGTAATCTTTATTTATATTCTGTTCCTCTTAATCGTATTAAAAGTGAAAACTTGGTGGGGGGAAAGAAGGAGATGAAATAAAAAAATCGGTGAAGATCAAAATTTATCGATGCACGAAACACGGATCCGGACTTGTACGAGCCGAGTTTTCAATGGACGAACACCGAAACCGAGATCGTAATTGTTTCTTTGGCAGAGCGACAATTGGATCGCCGTGGATTTCCGATGGAACACGATGTTGCATGGCCAGACTTGATCGTTTTCAAAGAGCTCGACAGCTTTAATTCGTCCAACTGTACGAAATATCCACTTCAAACAATAACTATTCAACGATTAAATTTCTATATGCGTGTATTTTGTGATACCGTGTAAATTTGATATATTCCATACGTCGAATAATATTTTGAAAAAAAAAAAAATCTAAGGTTATTCTAAAATGTGTCCAAGAATTAAGATTGAATTCTTTAGTTTCGATTCTAGAAATTATAAGAATTTATGATTTTTTTTTGAATTTTCTAAGTTTACAATGATGAAAGTAAAAGATAATTATACGTAAAAAAAAGCGTGTTGTGAAGAAATTGTAATAAAAATTAGCAATGAGAAATTCCTGGTTACAATTTCAACTTTTTTTTTTTACTTCGAATTTTTCGATTGGACAAAATTATCGAGAATTCTCAATTATTTGTATAAAAGTTCCTAATGAAAAAACTTTTCAACTGTAAAATGAAGAGAAGTAAAATTTCGACATTGTTCAGTTACATATTTTCAAAGTGAAACTCACACGAATTCAAAACATAATTCAAAGAACAAAAAAAATTTCTTTAATTTCAAAATTCAACGTTCAAAAGGAATATTTCTTGTAAAAAAAAAAAAGAAAAATAAATAAAAAATAAAAATTCTCAGAATTGTTTGAACTTTCAATCCAAAAATTCTCAAAATTATTTTTATTTTATCTCCAGTTTCTATAAAATTCCTCAGTTGTTGGAATGATAACACGAGCGTGGTTGGTGCGCACTTCCGTCGTGGTTAATGAATCGGGGGTTCCAAAGTGTCGCGAAGCGTGTCAAGGGTCAGGAGGATCGATCGCTTTTTAACCGTGCGCCACTTTGTACGTGTCGAGACAAAAGTTTGACAACCGGCCCGATATCCTTCTCTCTCTCTTCACCTGTCGAGGTTTACCTCGTATCGTGGCCAATAGAGGGAAGGAAAATTCGATTTTTTTTCGATTGACGTTTATGCGACGATGCCTCGAATCCTTTGAAGCGGCATTTTTTCCAGTAGCGTGTAGAATTGACGGCCATTTTATACACGTTATATAGTGTTGTCGAATGTGTGCATCACGGGGTGTTTCTTCGAAATTGTGCGATAAGTGGCCGGATGGTAATTTTATAAAACTATATGTAATTAACCAAAATAAGTCAAAAGAAGAGAGCAAACGTTCCTAGGCTTCGCTTTTAAAGTGAATCAAGTTTGACGATTGTTCAACAATGAAATTTCCAATTGGATATTATAATTGATGGCCAAATTGATGATTACTTTTATAGAGGATCGTAAAAAAATCGTATTAATTTTCGAATTTCTTCTAGAAACTAATTTTTACCTTTGTAATACCTGTGTGAAACGTTAAAATTATGTTTACGATACTCGTAATTTTATTACTCGTTCCATCCTATATTAATATCACAGCGATAAATTTCAGGTATGGCGTTGATCGCGATGTGCTTCAACCTGATGCAAGAGGAAGTGATCGCAAAGGTGCGCGCATTCGTGCGTACCGTTAAATATATATTCCGATGCGACAGGTGACCATAACGAGCCTCAGCCACGTTCTGCGCCTCTGCAACATCCGGTAAGTCGAATTCCACCTCATTTTATTCATGATCCATCCTTACGTCGGAACCAATTCTGGTTTGGGATTGCTTTTCGTGGGTAACGCGGTGCCCGAACGAAAATTTAAAGAGAAAGACGTCGGGTGTGTTTTTAAAAATACTGAAATACTAGAAATCTCGCGATTTGGAAAATGCAGAAGGAATTATAAAAGTTTCAATAATACGAATAGATATTAATTTTTTGTTATATTTATTAATATATTAAACGTAATTTAAACAACGTTATATATATGGAAACCATTATGGCGTATCATCTTTTAAAAATTTTATAAAAAAAAAAAAAGAAAATATAAAAATACAATTGATAATGTCTTACTTCTTTATCTCTTCTTAATTTTTCACTTATCGAGATAAACGTCTTTAAGACGACAAAGAACCATGTAAAAATAACTCAAAGTCGCAAAAAGTAATCGAATCGAATTAAATGAAAAGGAAGCAAGATTTTTTTAAAATTCTCTTTTCGTTTCAATTAAGCTCGATTCACGAGCTTACGAGAGAGTGACAGTCTCAACAGAGCATTCCCTGTAATTTGGTTTATACTTTAATCTCGCCGGTAAAGAAAATCGGCGGAAATCCCTGCCACGCGATAAATGCGATAGATGCGCGCGGTATTTTCGAAAAAAATGCCACCGTCTTCCGGTTGATGGTGGTTGTCAAACGGGGAGAGAAGTTGTTTCTGTCTGGGACGACTCGCGGAATAGATAAAGGACGGGCAAAAAAGTAGATAGATAGGGTGAAAAATGAAGTCTTCTTTCGAGAGGAAAAATATAATGGAGGCGTGAAAACGATCGATCGGAGGGAATTTAGCGCGCCGAAAGATCGAGGTTAGACTCTCGTTTACGCTTTCAAACGCATCGCTTTCATTTCCTTCGAACGATGAAATATCCACCATCAGCAGAAATTTTCTTATAACTCTTGCTTTACGTTTTTATCGAATTAGATGGCTAATGACATATTAATAACTAATATTTCATCGAGATTTATTTAAAATTATGTTATGAATTTTGTTAATTTTAACGATCGAATGTTTTTTCCCAGTCTAAAATTATCTACTTTTATAAGATTTGATTAGTATTGTTAGGCTATGTATCTCGTGTTTTAATATAATTTTAATAATTAAACCAGAAGATAGAAAAGATAATGGATGATTAGAAATAAGAAGCATTATGTCAAAAAAAAAAAAAATAATACATTTAAAAAAGATATTATCACTTTTTAAAATTTATAAATCCATAAATTTACTTTTAATAAAAAGATAAGATGAAGATCGGTTAACCGAAATATAATTTCTTGAGAAGAAAAGTTTTTTCTTTTTTTAACATACTTTCATCAAATTTAACGAACTTTTAAGAGGTTAAGTACCAAGAAAGTGGTCAGTGGAACTTTCGATTCGAATAAACTTTCCTACTTCGCAAGAAGAAGAAGAAAAAAAACAACGATGTCTCGAGAATTGCCGACGAATCAGCGAATATCGCGAACTTTCGTTAGACAACGTCGTCTTTTTCGGCTATTAAAGCCTGCTTTGGAGGAGACATAGCCTCGGGTGAAGTCGCTTTAACGCCAACTACGAAACTCTTCTTCGAAGGAATTAGGTATTAGTGCATCTTTAGGACGAGCATACAGTAACTCTGCCGAGGAAAATAAGCATAAGCTTTCAGAGAAGCGGTCCACCGTTTCAAGAGGATATTCTACTATCGCTGTACACATAATACACGTACATATCCACACAATATTCGAGAGGCTTAATGAACGAGTGATACGTAAAAAGCCATATAAAAGTCTTAGGCTACTTTTATCGAACAAGAATGTTTTTTTCATTTTTCTGAACAAGAATATTTCTCTAAGAAACAATCAAATCGTTGAAACGATTAAAAAACACATACAAGATTTGCACTATAAGATACAATTTTTTCTTGAATTTCGAACGATACAAAAAATATTTTGTAATCAAAAAAAAAAAAATCAAATTTTATAAATAACTTAAACTTTCTTCTTTCTCCTGAAAAAATTCGACAGTTTTTGACAGTTACAAGTGTTTCATTCAAGGAGACTTCAATTTATGATACCAAAAACATACCAAAAACAATGTATCTCGTTCGAGGAAAAAATTGAGGAAAATAATAGGATGGAATTTCGTGTAACAAGCAGAATCGCAAAAGTGGTTGAAATTGTTGAAATTCATGGTTGTTGAATGAAGGGAATTTGCCATTTTGCCAGTGAAGAGAGATGCGGCGCGAAAATTATGATTCTATCGGGAAGATTGACGCGACGTCTGTTACGCAAACAGGGAACGGAAAAGGTGATTTTTCGTTTTCCTTTCTTCTGCCTTTCTCTTTTCCTCTCTTCCCATCCCTACTCCCTCTCCGGAAAAAAATTTGAAAGGGTGGAGAGCATGAAAGGGGTAGAAAATAAAGGGACCACAATCGTCGAAGGTACAAAGACGAGTTCTTTGAAATTCCAACGCCTGGCTTCGTTGAGAAGAAAAAAAAATAAAAAAAAGGGGGAAAAAGAGAGAAAAGGAAGAAAACACCATGTAGGCACTTGGAACGGAGAGAAAAAGAGGGAAATAGGGAATTACCTTGTACAGGACGTTATATTTCGGCCGAAACTTTTCGTTCGTCCGACTTTTTCAACAATTAACTCTTCAACTACCTTCCTCCAGCTTAATACACTAGCGATTGTCATCGATTTTGTTATTACCTCTTTCTTTTCCAACCGGATAAATAAGATATTTGTTTTTTTGTTACGATCGTTGATATACGAAATTTGATAAGAAAGATAATAAGTAATTTACAATTTATAATAAGGTAAAAATAACACTTGAGAATGTGAACTTGAATGAGGAAATAAATGAAAAATGTAGAGAACACTTTTTAAAGAGTTATCGAGAAATGCAAGTTTATACTGGTAAGATCAATTATTTTCGAGATTCTTTTTTTTCGACTTTTCGACGTTTACTAAAGTTCCTTTCACAAATCTAATTTGGATCTTCGTTAGAACTTTACACTTTGAAACTTTGAATTCCGTGCGGATCATGATCAATTAGTTGCTAGAAAAGTAAAGAGTAAAGAATTGGCAGATAAATTATGTCGAATATGCAAACTTTTTGGAAACTTGAATATTTTCTTTACAGAATATTTTCTGATTATTATTACGTTTTGCTAATTAAATAAGTTAAAAACATATACATTATATGAAATTATTTTTCAAGCACTGAACAAATATGAATGATTTTAATTTTTTAAAAAGATATCAAGTCAAAAAGATTGAATTTCTGAAATCGAAAACAATTCGTTATTAAAATACCTCCGAATAAAATTATCTAAGAATAACAATTATTATTATTATTATTATTATTATAACAACAACTGGTAAACTTTATTACCAAAAACTCTTAATGAATTTCATCTATTAAAATCTCCACACCGTCGATACACAACCGTCGAAATCTGAACCTAACCTCCAAAAACCCTTAAACGGAAGAACCAAGACTCGTGGCCTCGGCCTTCGACGACCCATTGCCCGCAGAAGACAATCTATCCGGAGGAATCGTGGCGTGATGATAGTGGGGGGTGATATTAGAGGGGTGGAAATGGTAGGAGAGGTGAGTTGGAACGGGGCTGCGGCGTTCCTTCATGCGGCGAACGGACCGCACGAGGCCGCGCCGACGCACGATACCCCATTTCGACTACGTTTGCGCGTTGTGCACTCTTCTACGGGGTGCGTCCGTGCCGGCGACGCTGTTCATGGACGGCAGACAGTTTCCACGGCACTCGACGAACGCCGTTCCTCGTTCAGTCGTAGCGAAACAATTCCATTCGACCCATAGAATCGCGTCGATATCGGGTTCGCGATAAAATCAACCGATCGGATTCAACTGATCGTCGAATTTTCCCCGCGAATACGCGAGAATAATTTTTGATAAAAGCTTCATCGTGAGAACACGCGACCATCGTTGGCAAAGGATGCTGCAAGCAGCGTGCAACAACGTGGCAAGCTTCTGAAACCAGTTTTTTAACGAGGAAATTACATTGGATCTCCTTGGCTCTCCCCGGATCTCCCCGTCTCTCCCTGGCTCTCCCCACTTGCACGGGCATACGGAAATGATTCTTCAAGAGATTTCGCATCTTTTACAGTGTGGCTCGCGTTTACTAACGAGAAATACAAGTTTGGTGAAGTAGATGGTTGTTTGGGGATGGATCTCCCCGATTAAATCGACCGCTTGACGTCGCGAGATGAGTAACAGATGACAGGGTCGCGCTCGTGGATCAATGTAAACGACAAACAGGCTCCGGGCTCCTCGATCGCATCTGAGAGGAGGTGGCGAAGGGCGAAGTCGTCGCGAGGTAGACTGTTGATCGACCGTGTATCGAAAAGGACGGGAAAATCCGAATATCGCGAAAAATATAGATGAGAAATGAAAAAGGGAAAACGAGAGATGTTTTCGTATTTAGAGACGGGATGTTCTGTTCTCTGAGAAGAGAATTTTTCAAATAATCCCGAATTCTCCGAAGATATCCGTCCAAAGACAAAGGGAGGACGGAAGAGACGGATAATAAAAAATCCTGGTTCGACTTTTCGCAAGATCGCTGACTGGTAAAAAGGAAAACGAAGAATAATCTACGGTAACGATTCGACTCGAGCGATTCGACGAGCGACTGGGAAAAGTTTGTTCCGCGTCGACGAGCCGATATGCCCAGTGAAACGACTGTGGGAAGTTGAAGACTGTCGAGGCGATCGCTGCCAAGGTAAGTAGTAAGTTACGCGGTAGAAGTTCTCGAAGAAAAGTTTTTCGAATGTTTTCGAATCGATGCATCGCCGCCACACCGGCAACCATCACCACTACTATTAACCATTACACACTAGCACGCACGAACATATTGCCTCGTGCACTTTATCCGGAACGAACCTAGACGATTTTTATCGCGTTGCACCACTCTAATATCTAGTATATATTTTTTATTTTCGAGCACTTTTGGAAACAGAAAGTAATTATTTTTTCTTTTTTCTTTGAAAGGTAAAAATAAAAGAAAAGATAGGATTTTTTTATATCTGATGTGAATGTGGGATATGCAAAGATAAAGAAAAATAATGAATTATGCTTATTGATTATTTTTATATTATTTTATATATTTTTGATTTTTGGGTTTAGGTAATTGAAACAGTTGAGCAAAATCTTATTTCTTTGAAGGGTGAAAATTGAAAGTAAAGATAGATTTTTGATATAGTATAGAGGGTTAGTCACATGATTGAGATGGATTGCACGCTATTCTTCGATGAATGGAAAAGATATATAGGTGAATTAGGTTTGGGATGAAGGATTATGTTTATGTTTAATTCTTGGATTTGGGTAATTGGAATTTAATAATTGATTGTGTAATTAATGAAATATTATCACTTTTATTATTGATTAACTATTTGAATACAAATAAAGACGAGATATGATGTTAAATTGTCCAATTTTAAAGATATGATTATAATATTAAATTAAATTATAACACACACACATATTATTTCTGCATACAAATTCATAATATATTTTATTGCATTTTATGTTTTGATTTTCATAATACTGATAAAATGCAATAATGATACAATAAAAGTATCAGAAAAATATTACTTTTATTATAGTATAATTTTTTCTTAAATAAAAAAAATTTTATAAAATTCTAAAAATATGATGCATAATCAAGAATTTTAATTAATCTCCAATACCGAAAATAAAGTTCATTAATTTAATAATATTTTAAATTTATTAAAAAATTCTATAACTTCGCATAATAATTAAGAGATTATTTTTTTTCTATAAATCTCATTAATTAATTTAAGTTTATACTTTCAAAAAATTTATTGTAAGATACATAATTAAAAGATTTTTAAAAATTCATACCATAATAATAATAATTAAGAGAAATTTTTTTTACAATAAATTTCATTAATTAATCCATGTACTCTTTTTATATTTATATCTTTAAAAAAAAGCTGCATTATCAGCTAATTTAGTGAATTCTTTAAATGCTAAAAAATTCCATATCATATAGATAAAATATTTTCTTTTCAATAAATCCGAGTAATTAACTCAAAAATTTTTGCTTTTATTTCCAATGCCAATTTAATTTCTCGAAAGCACTTTTAAAATTATTTAAAACCATGATTTTTCTCACTTGTATCGTCATTAATTTAATAATCTTTTAAAACATTCTATAAAAATTAATATATACCGCGTAATCAAGAGATTTTCACTTAATAAACCACATTCATTAAATCAATTGAAAATCTCATTATATTATCAAAAATAAAATATGCTGTATTACTAACCAATTTTTAATAATTTTTTAATTAAATTAATAAATCACTAAAAATTAAATATATATATATATTTTTTTAAAATAAATCCTATTAAACAAAGTTCTCACTTATATTTCCACAAAATATTTAAAAAAAATACATCTTTAATACTTAATTTATATGTTCATATACTTTCATTTTATTGTTCAACAATCTTTTCGAAACTAGCATTTCACAAAATTTAAAAGAAAATTACCAAATTTTCGATTTCAATTTTCGAAAAAATTTAAAATTTTCAAATCCACGATTCAATTGTGTATCGAAGAAAGATACTACGTTCACATGATTCATAGAATATTGAGAATCAAGTGAATCGACGTTTAACTTTTCACAGTGGGAGCGAGGCGAAGTAATTTCGTCCCGTGTTAACAACTTTCGATAAATGTCCCGTCTTTGTTGGCTCGTCCGCCTCGTTTTATGCCCGTCGATTCGTCAGCGAAACTCGTTTTTATCCACGAAACTGCTTTTATCGAGTCGCCCTTTTCTTTGCCGAAAAATTGGTTCGACCAACGTCAGACCAATCGTTCTTTCTGTATTAAGATATTACAATAGTAGTTTCTTATTTTCGTTATACGAACAACTATTTTATATGAATGTTTTGTCATATGAATAATACATTTCATATTATATGCAAAGCGTTTATTTTCTTTTTTACAGAATGGAATTTATTTGTTAAATTAATGATAATAGTGACAAAGATCGTTTTTACATCTTGAGATTATTTTGAGTTTTTTAATTATCTTAAATTAAAACACAAACGTGTAATCGAAGAAATTATGATTACTACAGTTCTATTATTTTAATAATTTAAAAATTTGATTGAGATTTCGTTTGGATAGTTAAACAATTTTAGAGATAGATTTTAAATTTAAAAATTCTATATAAATCTATATATTAATATAATAATTACAAAATTCTAGACGTATATCCTGAAAATTCTAAATACAACATAATATTTTAAAGTAAACTTTGAAAATAATAATATGATAAGTTCTAAAGATAATAACAAAATAATTATTAAATTACAAAGTTAACAACAAGGAACTGGTATTAAAATACTCTTTTAATTTAATCTCTTCTTCCATTACAGTATAAAACTTTACAGTATATATATTTTAATTATCTAATTATATGATCCAGCTTATAAAATATTCTAATCGGTAAAAACAAATTTTACAATATTATTTTATAATTAAAAAAAATATATTTTAAAAATCTACATCACGTCATATCGATTTCTTTTAACAATTTTGATTAAATTTTATTAGTTTTTTGCTCGATATAATTTTTAATATTCTAAACAAAAAATGATGTAATTTTTATGCAGGATGATAAAGTTTACGTAAATAAAGAAGAATCCCACAGATACGCTTTATACATGTTTAAGTTATTATGTATCTTGTATACGAACAAAGAAATCATTAAAACAAAATTGTTATATCACGATCGCCATAAATAAAATTGCTAAAATTGAATTTTATATAAATTGCAATATGCAAAAAAGAAAAAGAGCAAAGATATAATTGAAATAAATTTAAAAACAAATCATTTTTATTATTTTAATATTGAAATATGTTTGATAACAATTTTTTTTTAAATATTTCCATTCTTTAATTAAGAAAATTTTATAGAAAGTGTCTTTTTAAAAAATATCCTCCCCTTTCCTTTCTTTGCTTTAGAATTAAAATTATATTTAAAAAAAAATATATATATATCAAACAGAATAATATTACGAAAAATTATTACATTGAAAGCTTTCTAATTCCACTTTTTCATAATTCTAAAAACTAAACGGAAAAAAAAAAATTTCAACGCGTAAAAGCTTCCTAACCTCACTTTTCATCACATCATCCCTAAAAATATTCTATCCAAAACGGAAAAAAAAAAAAAAAAAAAAAAAAAAAAAAAAAAAAGAAAATAGAACAAAAGGAATAAAAA